TAACCCCTCTACGTCACAGTTAAATTTGCATTTCTTTCTCTGTCCTTCTTCTTCCTGCTATTATTTGTCCAGTCGCTATCAATCTTTTTGTTCCGCCTTCAGAATTCCATCAGGAATTTAAATTAAAAGGTTTACACTGCTTGTAAATATAATCAGAGCTGATGTGAACATCTGTATACACAGGAGAGAAGCAGACCCTGCATTAGGAAAGACTGGGTCAGAGTTCTTGGACCAGCCCTTATTTCATCATACAGGCCCAGCTTCTAGCACAGTGTCTGGCCCATTGAATGTACATGAAGAAAAGGCTCCTTAGTTTCTGGGGTGAACATTTAGCACAGCTTGAGTTTGATTCCCTACTCTTTTTCTGATCCAGGTTTCTGCCAGTGCACTCCCAGAAGGTAACAGTTAAAAGCTCAAGCCCTTGAGACACTGCCACTCACTTGGGAGACTCAAATGGAGTTCTAGACACCTGGTTTTGGCCTGGCCCATCCCTAACTGTTGCAAGCATCTGGGGAGTGAACCAGCAGTTGGAAAATCTCTGTCTCTGTCTTTCCTTGCTTGATTGGTAGCTCTCTCTGTCTTTCAAATAAATTAAACTTTTAAAGAGTTATTTAACATGATTGCTTTATCATAACGTCAAAGCCACATATAAATAACTAAATAACACAGTCAAGAGGCCAGGGGGAGCTGCTACCCCACCACTGAGGCATTTTTGTGCAAATCAGAAAAAAGTATCCATTATGACTAATTTGGTTCTACACCAGATACTGAAGTTTAGCATGTATAGCTTCAGTGGAACTCCAGTTCCTACTTGCTCTCTCAGCCCCAAGAATCTGTATAGAGCAAAAATAAAAATGCATTACCTCACATGTCAGTCCCAGTGATTGAGTTCTGATCTCAAGCTGTCATCAGTCTCTGAGACAGTTAACAAGGCCAGTGGACAGAAGAGTTATACTGCCTCACAGACCTTTCTTTTTTGATTGGTTATGTGCCAAATAGTTTCTGACTTGAAAAAGCATTTCCGTAAAGTAGTCCTGAGAGAGATTGGGGTAGAGGGACAATATTTAACAGCGGATCCAAGTTCAAGTAGCTGTAGCAAGCACATGATAGAGTACAGAGAACATAACATTAATAACTCATTTTTCATGAAAATTTACAACATGAATTTTAAGGGCTTTTCATGTATTACCCCATTCAATATTCACAGCAACTTATAAGGCAACATTCCTATTATCCAAAGATAAAATATGTTAGATGAGAGAATTTCATTAACTTGGAAATGAAGCAAAGACTGAATCCACATTGGTCTTATTTTTGTTTCCCAGAGTGCTAGACTCAAAGAATATGAAATATTTTAGGTTTTACCTTATGCACAAGCCCAGCACTAAGTACCGTGGAGTCACCTGGTGGGATTGTAATTCTATTTTCAATTTTTCTTCAACCCGTCTGCTCATGACTCAGTCTGGTGCCACATGCCTATAAAACATGCCACACACTCCTGTTAATATCCTCCTTTAAATAAGTAAAAAATAGGTTTCAGACTCAGAGCCTTCAACAATAGTACCTAGAGAGACATTAATCACAATTTTAATCATAGTATAATCTTCTCTTTGTAGAATCTTATACCAGTTGTCAATTTTCAACTATAAATTAATTTTCAAATAAAATTCAAAAAGTCTTTAAAAAATTTAAACAGGGGCTGGAAAAATTAAACAGGGGCTGCCATTGTAGCATAGAGGATAAAGCTGTTACCTGTAACACCAGAATTCCATATGGGAGCTGGTTCGTGTCCCTGCTGCTCTTCTTCTGTTTCAGCTCCCTGCCTGGGAAAAGCAACAGAAGATGGCCCAGATACTTGGGTCTCTGAATTTACATGGGAGATCTGGCTCCTGGCCTCAGCCTGACCCAGCAATGGCCATTGTGGTCATCTGGGGAGAGAACAAGTGGATTGAAGATCCCTCTTTCTCTTTGTAACTCCGACTTTCAAAATAAATAATTATTTTTAAAAAGCATATTAAAGAAAAACAATATGGCACATTCATTATGTGGAAATCAGTAGAGTGGCTGATAATCAGAGAGAACTCAGAAATGGTGAAAGTCAGGAATATGTTATCAACAGGTATTCATTGGAAAATAGTACCATATACAACTAAATCACTTGTATGGGCTTTGCTGTCAGAAAATATATGAAGATGTATCCCAGTTTTATTGATTATAAATTTGCCAGCGCTTTATGGGCTTTGAAAATCTTTCCATCTCTCTAAGCTTAAGTTTTCTTGACTTAAAAAAGTACATAATACCTATTTTTAAAGTATCATTTTGACAGGCAAACGAAGTAATATTTGTAAACTCACTTTCACAATGTCTGGCACCAAACAGGTACTCTATAAGTATTAGTGTCCTCTACCTTCACCCTTATTTCTAGTTCCCAGAGTTGGTAGAAAAATGATGAACCCCCTCCCATGTCTTTGCCAATAACTGCTTTAATTAGCTTCTTTCTTTTCTTCAAATTATTTTTATAAAATATTAAGAAAAAGCATTAAAAAGCATATATATGGCATACAACAAATTAAGTCAAATAACAAAAACAACAAAAAAGAACCAGGATCATTGTCATTAACTTTATAGCCTTTCATGAACATGTGCCTGCCCTTCCCCTTACTACTCAGACACCAAGCCTGGTGACCACTTGAAAGCACTACCTCCTGACAGCTCCTTTCAGCAGTATTACATCACAGAGAAATGACCTTGAACTCATAGAAGTGGAAAGTAGAATGAGTTTCAACTTTCTTTAAGGTCTGTGTTTGGGGCTTACAGAAACTTAGATTTTTTTTTAACTTTTATTTAATGAATATAAATTTCCAAAGTACGGCTTATGGATTACAATGGCTTCCCCCCCATAACGTCCCTCCCTCCCGCAACCCTCCCCTTTCCCACTCCCTCTCCCCTTCCATTCACATCAAGATTCATTTTCGATTCTCTTAATATACAGAAGATCAGTTTAGCATACATTAAGTAAAGATTTCAACAGTTTGCTACCACACAGAAACATAAAGTGAAAAATAATAGATGATTTTTTAAATGATGATGAAATCAGATAAGACCTATTGTCCTGTTTAATCCCAGTGAGAGTCAAGTTGGGAATTGATAATTTCTTTTTTTTTTTTTCAGAAGATCAATTTAGTATACATTAAGTAAAGCTTTCAACAGTTTGCACCCCCATAGAAACACAAAGTGAAATATACTGTTTGAGTACTCGTTATAGCATTAAATCTCAATGTACAGCACATTAAGGACAGAGATCCTACATGAGGAGTAAGTGCACAGTGACTCGTGTTGTTGACTTTACAAATTGACACTCCTGTCTATGGCATCAGTAATCTCCCTATGCACCAGTCATGAGTTTCCAAGGCTGTGGAAGCCCCTTGAGTTCTCCAACTCTTATCTTGTTCAGACAAGGTCATAGTCAAAGTGGAGGTTCTCTCCTCCCTTCAGAGAAAGGTACCTCCTTCTTTGAAGACTTGTTCTTTCCACTGGGATCTCACTCACAGAGATCTTTCATTTAGGTGTTTGTTTTTTTTGTTTTTTTTTTTTTTGTTTGTTTGTTTTTTGCCAGAGTGTCTTGGCTTTCCATGCCTGAAATACTCTCATGGGCTTTTCAACCAGATCTGAATGCCTTTAGGGCTGATTCTGAGGCCAGAGTGCTGAGAAACTTAAATTTAAGTTGAAATAATACATTCTTCACATTTTCCAAATCAAGATCATAAAGCACAGAAAGTAGCTTATACATGGAAGTGTCATACATACAATCAGAGTCTCACAATTAGACTGGGGACATTCTGATTTATGTGGTCATCCAGAGATGAGGTGTATCCCCCTATTCATGTTGATTCCCTATACCTGTGAATATCGCCCTTGTCAGTATGGTGCATGGTGAAAGTTGGGTCCTGGGCACATCCAGAATATTAGTTTGCAGGAAGTACAAAGGGAGGACAGTCCATAATAAGTAATGGAAAGTAAGCCTCCAATTTTGAAGGAAGGAATATAGAAACAAATCTCTCTTCCTTACAGAGAGAATATACGTAAGGAGTGAGGTGAGGGAGATACTTTGAGATCATCAACCAAAAGACATGTTAAAATCATACAAATCCAAATCTTCAGGTGATGCCCTTGAGACCAAGCAAATAATGGTGGAATCTAGTATTTCCTGCCATGATGTAATGCAGGAGAACTAACCACCACAAAATTTTTGTCCAGTCACATAGAACCAGAAGGAAAATGCCAGATAATTAAATATATCAGCCTACCATTGATTCAACTATTTCTTCTTTGTTCACCTAATTCAATTGTGGGAGTTTGTTTTCTTTAATTCAACTGTGGGAGTCCAGTGTCTGTATGTAAGCCTCTTGAGTATGCCTTTCTAGAATTCAAAAATTTAATTTGGAATTTTTATTTAATTCACATAGAATATTATCAAGTATCCTTGGTGCTTATGAAGCATTTTTTATCTCATTTATCTTCTGCATTGGAACATAATAGTGAGTTCACACAGGAAAAATTACTTGCAATTTTTTAGCAGTTTCTTACATGGATCTGTCAGAGAACTTTTTGGTGTGTTGCTTTTGCCACCATTGTCCATAAACAAACTGGAAATAACCTTCTAGGAAAAAAATTTGGTGCATAATTAATCATGATATTGGTTTAAAAATTGTCAATAATTATGCTGAATAAAGAAGAGCAGCTTCTCCATGTGATGATCATATTATAGTATGCTTTCATTTGATGTATCTATCTCCATGATGGTCCTTACCTAAATGGTTGGAGCTATGTTAACACTATTTATACCCCTAAGAGAGACAAGAAAACAATTCCATGGCAAGTAACAGTCTTTTGATAAAGTTGCAGTGACATCACGCATATTACCCCATTATCAAGAGCCAGAAATATAAGCTTACAAGCTAAAAAGGAATAAGGGAAATACAGTCATTAGTTGGTCATTCACTAGCCAAGGTAAAAGTGTATTAAGATGGAAAGGGAAACTAGGACCATGACGTGGTTTTTGTAAGAATGCTAGCAGAGTACACACAAGAAGAGTAATTGCACTGGATTAGAAATACTGGGGTGGGCCTCTTTTTAATGTCCAGTGTCCTTTGTCTTAACATTTGGTGCAATGTGTGAAAACAAAAGATGGAAGGGAAAATGAAATGAGAAGGGGAGGGTGAAGTCTACCACAAGCAATAAACAAGCAACCAATTAAATACAAACTAGGGCAGATAGTAAACAGTAACATGGAAATGAAATAAACAGAAAAAATAGAAAGCTTATTATTTATTTAAATTGGAAGAGAACAAATAAAGCCATTCTCCTGATATTCATGAAAATGACTGATTTTGGACCTCCAAAAATTGTCTCATCTGCAAAGGTAATGAGAAAATTGGCAAGAAATCAACTCTTCCTACCATTAAAGTAATTAACTAAAAGCTTGTATTATTCAAGCAACACAGGTGAATCTCAGTAAAAACAGTAATCTTTGTGGAGTTTTAACTTGCTCTATTCCCATCTCCCCCAATAGCGTTGAAAATAAACAGCCTGAACTTCCCATGCATTCTAGAAGTCAAAAAAACAGAGTATCATGGAGCTGTAGCTCTTGTTCAAAATAACTGCCATTATTTACCAAGTATCATGGTACCATGAAATCACCACTTGCCAGGTTATCTGTACTTGACCATACAAGGAGCTTGTCCATTGCCAAAATTATTTTGCCTGGAGAACATTTATCAAAAAAACTACATATATAGGAAAATATTTTAACTTTACAGCTGCCTTAAGCCATGAATAATAAGAGAAACAATAGACAAAATTCAAAATGAAAAGTTAAAGAATGAGATGTGAATAAGGTATTTAAAGAGTTGTCATGTTCAATGTGCATATATCTATATGGGCTTACCCAATAACGTGTGCATGAACAGGAAATCTCTGAAAAGTCCTATAATCTTACCTCTGAATGACCTTGGTGATCAGTATTATAAGGAAGTAAAAGCTACAACAGAGTTGTCAAGCACATTGTGGAATTTTTTGTCTTCTTTTAAAAAAAGGATTTTTTTGAAAGGGACAGTTACAGAGAGAAGGAGAAAGAGACAGAGAGAGAGAATCTTCCATCCTTTGATTTTTTCCCCAAATGACCACAATGGCTGGGATTGACCAGACTGAAGCCAGGAGCCTAGAACTATCTGTGCCCCTCACATGGGTGACAGGGACCCAAGTATTTGAGCCATCTTGTGCTGCTTTTCCAAGCACATTAGCAGGCAGTCAGATCAGATGTAGAGCAGCTGGGACTTGAACTGATGCTCATATAGGATGCCAGCAACACAGGTGGCAGTTTAACCCACTGCACCAAAACACCAGCCTCTGCCTGGTTGAATGTTGAAGTCGTATCATCAAAAACCACACAAAACCCCTCAGTAAAAGCTGAAAGATGTATTGGTTCCATATATTTAAAAAATTTCCAACCAACAACTAGCTGAACACTAAATCAACAGAGTAGAGAATTGGAAGACCACACAAAACAATGCATATACACTTTATAGAACTGGCTCAGAAAAGTGATTAAACAAGCAAACATAAAACTACTATAACTAACAGCAACAGTAAATCCTAGGAAGGGAAACAGTCTGATTTACGGAACTATCATATTATATTATGTTATTTTAAATGTCTGATTTTCAACAAAAGAATGAGATTACAAATCATGAGCATTACTGTGTAAACAAAATAAAGCATAAAAGAGGAATAGAGTGAAAGATTATGTATTTACCATTTATTAATCTATTATTTATTCATTTTTAAATAATTTCAATCAAAGAGATACTTGTTCCACCACGTTCATTGCAGCACTGTTTACAATAGCCAAGATATGGAATCAACCTAGGTATCCATCATAAAATAAATGGCCAAAGAAATATGTAACATACATACAATAAGATAGCATTCAGCCATAAAAAAAATGAAATCCTGTCATTTGCAGCAAAATGGATGGACCTGGAGGACATCATGTTAAGTGAAACAAGTCAAGACACAGAAACACAAATACTGCATGTTCTCCTTCATATGTCAGAGCTAAAAAAAAAAAACCAACCTCAGTATGAACATAGAATGTTGATTATTAGAAGCTGAGAGAGGTAAAAGTTTAGATTAAAAACTGAGAGAAGTTGGGTGTGGTTTATGAATTATGACAAATATACTAACATGCTAATCTTATGACAATCTGTGTGTGGAAGTATGGAAACTCTTAATACAACTCTCTTCTAAAATAAAAAGTTAAACAAATGAAAAAAGGAAATCGATTTGTGTGAAAGAGATAAGAATATGTTTACAGACTAATAAAGGTGCTTCTACAGGTACCTATATGCTATAGATAGGCATGTAACTATTTGAGAGACACTGTAATGAAAAACACAACCAAAAAAGCGTTTTGTTAACTAAGGTATATGAAACCAAACAACTGTTTTAGGATTTGATTTTGATGGTTTACATACTAAAGAGAAGTACTTTTCAAGTTTCCAAGAAGTGAGATAAAGTTAGTGAAAAATCTGTCTAAGTGAGGATGAGCAGAAGTTGACATATACTTGAAACTTTTTCCGGCATATGTCAAAATCTTAAAAAAAAAAAAAAAAAAAAAAAAAAAAAAAAAACCTGCTAGAGAAGTTAGTGTCTTCTGAGAATTAAAGGAAACTGTGAGATGAAGAAAGAGCACAGGATGAGAAGGCCAGGGGCCAGGAGCCCTGTTCCTGGCTCTGAACACTCTAGCCAAGAGGCCTTCGCAGATTAACTCCTCTGCTTTTTCTTTCTCTCTAAAATAAGACTTTTAATTAATAGAATATGTGATGCCTCTAAACCAACAAAGTTCTAGAAAACAAAATGCTAAGTGGATATGCAGGTATTTCTTCTTCAAGTACAAATAGGGTAGGTGTGCATTCCAGAGTCTGAGTTAATTTTGCCTTGGTGGGTCACTCAATGCTTATAAAATGTGTTCAAAGAGATAAATGAAGAAATGATATTAACAAAACTGAAGAGAAAGTACTTACTAGAAAAGGATGGTGATAAAACAGAAAACATAACCACAAGAAAATTAGAAAATATGGAAATAAAAAAATCAAAGAAAAAAATTAAATATGTATTAGATAATATAAACTCTAAGCTGGACACTAAATCAGAAAATTAGAAGGGATTGGAAAGAATTTGACCCATAATATGTTTAAAAAGATGGATATATTAAAAATAATAGGAGTCATAAAGTATAGGCAAGAATTTCTAACATAAATTTAATTGCAAATCCAGAACAGAATGTAGGGAATAGGAATAGCAGGAACAAAAACAATATTTAAAAAGATTAAAACAATAAATTTTCAGTTGAAGACAAGGAATATGTATCCTATCAAATGTTCAGTGTAAGCATAGAATAGAAAACATTAAAATCAAGGAAAAAGTAAATAAATCTATACCTGAATCTATCTAACTGAAACCATAGACCACCAACGAAGAGGATGGAGGGAAGTTACCAGAAGAAAACTGAGATTCATTACAAAGAAGTGGCAATTAGACTGACAACAAACTCTACACCAGCACCAACAGATGCCAAAAGTCCCAGAAATATACATCTCCAATATGTTGAAGGAAAATAACTCTCAATCTCGAATTTTATAACCAATCTGATATTATTCAGAAGCAAGAGCAGAACAAGGGAATATTCAGGCAAACACCAAGAATTTGCTTTCCACTATATTTTAAAAATTAACAAAGCCTGTGATTATTTTAAAATTTACTTTATATGAGTGAAATGGCTATCTTTCTTTTTGATTGTTTATGGCCCTTGCCTATATTACCATTGAATTAGGCTCTTTTTGCTTTTTATTTTTTTATCTTTATGTAGTGGGGCATTAAGCCCTTGACTGTAGTGTTAACTTAAAATATATTATCTCAAAAACAAAGAAAAGAAACAAAGAAGGGGGAGAGAAAGGAAGGAAGATAAAAATGATCAGTTCACTGAGGCTCTGCCACCTCATCTTGTTTTATCTCCTATTAGTTTTTCACATCATTAACCTACAGACACCAGGGACATTTGATCTGGGAACCCCTAGAAAACAGCTTCCCCTTCTAGCTCCACATTTCTATCACTGAGGGAGGAAACAGATTTCCAAAAGATGCTCACAAAAATTATCCACAAGGTACACATGATTCAATAATACATCTTCAAAATAACTCAAAGAATAACCAGAACTTTCATTATAATTAAATAGACTAAACAAGGTATAATACACTTGGGCATGCTTTACTTAGTGTTATGTATACAAAATATATATATAGCAAATTCCAAACTCCAAGGATTAATACAACACAAACCTAATATTAGTTTTCAACTTACTTTCATTAGAATATGGGGGACTCCAGATACAGGACTATTGAGTAAATACCCTATCTACTTTTAATCTATTCCTATTTCATTTCCTTGATTTCTTTTCTCTGACCAAACACATCTATATCAATACCTAATTAAACCTATGCCAGAGGGGCCGGTGCTGTGTGGCAGCAGATTGAGCTGCTACATGCAACACCAGGATCCCATATGAGAGCCCATATAAGTCCGAGGGCTCTGGTTACAATCCATCTCCTTGCTAATGTGTCTAAGAAAGCAGCAAAGGATGGCCTGAGTAGTAGGGCCCCTGCCAACCATATGGGAGACCTGGATGGAGTTCCAGGATCCTGGCATCAGCCTGGCCCTCTCTTCTCTCTTCTCTCTCTCTCCCTCTCCCTCTCCCTCTCTCTCTCTCTCTTTCCTCCCTGCCCTTCTGTTACTTTGCCCTTCAAATAAATAATAAAAGAAGTCTTTAAAAAGTTATGCTGGCCTGTTTAGTTCCTTGTTTCAAGACCAAAATGCTAACTGAGGAAAACTATCTATATCCATATACGCAATCGCCTCAAGCTGAATGGAGCATTACAATCCAAACTCTCTACCTCATCTACAAGGTCTTTGTTCACATGTGAACTGGCTCTTTGTTTCTTTTCCTATTGGCTACTGGGTGCCATTTCAGGAGCTGCTTGAGTTCAGACACAGAGAAAAAAGATGGTTGAGTTTCTCTCTGTTGTGATTTTGTTACCAAGTGTGACAGTCAAAGGAAC